CTGCCCAGATCGGCGTATCGGCGTATCGGCGTATTTGCCTCCTGGATCGGCGTATCGGCGTATTTGCTCCTGGATCGGCGTATCGGCGTATCGGCGTATTTTCCGGGCGTATCGGCGTATCGGCGTATTTTTCCCCCGGACCGGCATATCGGCGAACGGCGTACCGGCGTATGCGCGTATTGGCGTAAGCCAGCCTAGGCCCCCGACCGTCGTATCGGCGTATCGGCGTATGTGCCCTCTCCGGGCCATGCGCCGGCGTATCGGCGTATCGGCGCAAGGCGGTTTTGCGACACTATTTGCAGGCACGCTGGTTGACTATTGTTATTGTTGTTATATTTTAATTTGTAATATTCGTATATGGTTGTTATTAATATCATTGTTATTATTACTAGTACCATTGTTCTTTATTTTTATTATATTCCAAGTCCTGCCTTCTCTTGGCTTGCATCCCAGGGCAGACAAAGAAGTCAACGTCAGGGGCGAAAACTTCGCCTCAGGTGCGAAAATCCATGGGGGAAGTTTTGGAAGTCCCTCAAGTAGACTGGTCCTCTCAGCAAGGATCAGTGAGGTGTATACATGTACGTAGAGTAGCTTGTTTTGTCATGTTTGACTCCGCGCAGTGCTGGTTTCTAATCATTTTCGTTATGTTCTGCGTGTTCATTTTTGGATGTTGTGACTATGTATGTACATTACGCTCCGTATGTATGTAGGTAGGTAGGTAGGCATGTTGCATGCCCGCATGTCTGTTCATAAGCACGGGTCACTCTTTGTGCCTATGCCCAGGGACCGAATTCGGGGCTAGACTGTACTATACTGTACTAGCATATACTGTACTACGTGTGCGCATCGCTCCGACTTGTGTTGTCATGATGGTACTGCCTGGGCTCCACGCCTTTACAATCGGGTTTCGAGACTTGGCGAGGCAGGCAACAATAGTAATAGAAAGTAGCAGCAAGCAGAAACAGTAGTAATAGTAATGATGATACTAGTATTAATGATAGTAATCGTACTAGCAATTGTAATATTACCCACACTCATAATAATAATGATAGTAGTAATAATAACAATGACAACAGTAGTAACAGTACAATAACAATCACAACAATGACAGCGGCAGCTGCCTTCTGTATGCAGGCCACAACTACTATCCGTCCACGGTCTCTGAGATGGTGAGGGACCGCGAAAGCCATGAGCTCGGCGCAATTCCAACTTGCTAGCACTGTGAACCTGGTCCTGCCTGATACTTATGGTGATACTTATGGTGATACTTATGAAGGAGCCGAGTATGGGATTAACGTTCTACGTGGTAGGGCTCGCGTGGCATCACACGAGGTCCGATGGGGAAATGCTTCTACGGATTTACAAGCGCCGGATCTTTTGCTATTTGGATGTCTTGGTATCCGTGGCATCTGCAAAACGTGTACCTCCCGGCCGAGGACGGGCATGCTTGAGCTGAGCTGATAGGGATGCTTTGGACGCTAGAATTCCCCGTCGACTTGGCAGGAGGATAGTGTGTGGTGTTGCAGTGTCATGACACTTCGGACGTTGGCGCCGCTCCCAGATATTTATGTAATAGTATATATATATATATATATACGTTTAACAATATAATACCATATACAAAAATTATAAATTACGCAGATTGAATCCCCATTGGGTCGCGCAGTTAGGCTGCGAAGTATGGAGAGGGATTGTCAGCACCACGATGACAGTTTCGCAAGCACATCTCTGATTTAAAGCGCGGCTGGAATGTGGGAACCTGTCAACGATGAAGGAACCTGATCGAGCAAGAGAGGCCCAAAGCGATCTCTCCTCCTTGGGCTAAGGTTCCTCCGATCTCGATGTTGTTAGTCTCCGTCATTACGGTGGTGCCCTTCCGAGAGGCGCCCCGCTTGATCCCGAAGCAGCTTAGTCTGTCTGGTGCTTAGAAGGGAATGGGGGAATGGATCCCTATGATAGTCTCTTAAGGTCCCTTATAGTAGTCCCTATAACCCATTCCCCCATTCCCTACTAAGCACCAGACATTAGTCTCGCTTCTGAGGGCTTCTGCATGTCACAGGCGGATTCGATTGAAGCAGTCAGCACTGTGATCCATGCCATGGCCTGGAGCCCATGTCAGCTGTTGCCGGTGAGTACTTAAAGGATCATGGGACTTAGCAACTCAGGTTATTGTTAGGATAACTATACTTATAATAACTACTTATAACCCCAATTAAGGTACTTATAACCATACTTACTAAGTCCCATGATCCTCCAAGTAGAGTCATAGGGCTTCGTGCGGCGCGAGGTTTGGGTTTCGAAGACCAGCCTCCCATTCTGGTGTGATCAGACTTGGCGAAGGCTGACAGTAGCAACGGCTGCTGAGGCAGCCACGCTCGCTATGGGCGGCTACTGTGCCAGCGGCCCAGAGAAGTGCGTTGAGCATGTACTGTTCGTAGATGGAACATGCGATCGACTGCACGTCACATTCAATAGGTCTCTGATGTCATTTGATGCCTCTATCTTTGGAAGCTCTTGAGGTGCTGGAGTGGTATACACTGAACGTCGCGAAGAACGTGAGGTGTTCCCATCTCCATTCGGAATGCCCTGACTGGTCTGCTGGCGTGTAATATGCCATGTAAAGCGCAGGCCCTGAGCCTGTGCATAGTCTTGAAGCATGCTCCCTGAGCCTCCGGCATGCCTTCTGTGCGTAGTTTTGAAGTGTGCTCCGACAGGATGACTCAGCGGGAGCGGCATCTGCGACAGCTTATCAACTTGCTGCTGGGCTTTTGCACTTTTGGTCCAGCTCTCAGTCGAGTTGTTCGGGCGCTTAGAGGTTGTGCAGTTGTGTGTGGAGGGAAGAAGCGAGATTTAGTGTCAGGGCTGGTTGTCACCGGTGTGGTGGCGCAGCGGGAGCCCCAGCCGCCCAAAAACATGCGGGCTCTGCACTAAACCCTAAACCCTAAACCGTGAGCCGACTCTGGCCTTGGGTTGAATCAAAATCATCGAATTGGATGGAAGCCATTCGCCGGCTTTTGGGGCAAGATTGGCGTTTGACGCAAGTCTGGACAAGGAGATCTGCTAAACCTGGTGAGCACAGGGAGCCACATCCCCCTCCTCAGATTCAAATACTGTCTGGTGCTTTGAAGGGAATGGGGGAATGGATCCCTATGATAGTCTCTTAAGGTCCCTTATAGTAGTCCCTATAACCCATTCCCCGATTCCCTACTAAGCACCAGACAGAAGAGGGGTGCAGCTTGCACATGATTGCACCGAGGCATCCAGAGCAGTTCGGGATCTGCTGCGGAGACTTGTACATTGTTCCAAATGTGGTGGCCCCAATGAAGCGGGCCGTCCTGAGACGGGGGAGCAGAAGGGCATTCTATGGTCAGGTCACAGACATCGTGGCTTCTTACAACCGTGGCTTGTGCCTCAAAGCGTGCGCCAAGATCTCTTGGCTGTTCTCAGCTGTTGTGCCCGTGGCCGCTGCGGCTTAACATAATCCTGGAGTTCGAAGACAAGAGAGTCCGTCCCGTGTTCGATGGCGGAGCGTGGGAAGATCTGCTTGTGTGCATTGGGCCCCACAAGCCATTGAGGTGCCTACCAACAAGGAACGCGGAATGAGCAACTTGGCTCGACAGCAACGTTCATGCACCGCCAATCTCAAGCTCTACCGCGATGTAGCTGTGTAGCATCCGCGATCTATGGACACCCGCACTCTGAGGTTCCTAGTTCAACACCACAAGGCAGGGTCGGTCAAGCAGCTGAGCACTGGGCTTTCAAGCTTGAAGTTAAAATCTTCTGCGTGGACTCTTCCCGGCAGGTCGGACTGGTGGACACTGCATCTGGCGCAGCCGGAGGCTCATCTTCATCTTGGGACGCGGCATTCTGAGGCTGATCTTTGTCAGCTCATCCTACACCACAGAGCCACAACTACCTTAAGAGCCCAAAACCTACTTTTTTGTAGGGTCCCTATAAATCCCATATTAGGGTTTATAATAAGAACCTACAAAAAAGTGGGTTTTGGGTTCTTAAGGTAGAGTAGCAAGAAATCTATGCCAGCAGCTTCCGCTTCCGAAAACGATCTCGCAGACCCTCAGATTTCGCATGCCTAAGGCCCTGGCCTTCAAGCTCGGCATGTTCTGGTTCGAGGTCAGGGAGCTTTGCCACGTGACCCCAGACCCCGACCCCCTAAGCCCCATGTGCTTGGTACACAACATCACTTTATCAGGTCTCAGCTGGCCTGCTCATGCTCGCCAGCCATTTCATCATCTTCCTCTACTGTCCGGAGCGTCGTCTGCGAATCCGGGACCGCCTTGCCTGCATGTACTCGAGCATTGCAGAGCCCAGAGAGCCCAATACCCCTTAATTAAGGAATATACCTTAAATCATAATATAAAGCCCCTTATAGTCAAGGTATATTGCTTAATTAAGGGGTATTGGGCTCTCTGGGAGCATTGCAGAGCAAAACCCTAAACCCTAAACCCTAAACCCTAAACCCTAAACCAAGCATCTGCGCCTTGGCTGCAGGGATTCGAAGGCGGATATCTCGATGGCCAGCTTTCCCAGCGGAGTGAGGCCTCCTCAGACGGCGAGGCAGGAGATCTTGACCACGGTTTAGGGTTTAGGGTCATCGTCGTACGTAGTGTGAGTCAGCGATCAAGTTGAGGCTGCAGCATTTAGGCTTGAAATAAAGGCTTGATATGCAAAATGCGCATGACACTATGACTCCTGCATGACTGCAGATGTGCAGAAGCTGCAACGCCCTGTGGAGGAAGATTTCGACCCCGATGATGCTGAAGCCTAGCCCTCAGGAGGAAAGTGTTGTCTATCCGGACAGGATGTGCAGCTTCCCTAAACCCTAAACCCTGCCTGAGACACCGTCTCACAGTGCCCGACGAAAGATTTCGTCTGAGGTGGTCTCCAATGGGTCAGTTTGACGAAGAGAGCCCTGGTTAAAAAGGTGTTTGGCGGGTGTCTGGTTCATGACAGCTCGAGAAGTTGCGCCAGTCTGTTTGCTGCTCTTTACATCGGCTGTGCTTATTCAGAGACGAGGTTCCACGACCTAGGCTGAGAGAGTCATGACCATGACTTAGCACTCTCACCATCGCGCCTGAGCCGACTCAACGCGTGCTTTGATGCAAGATGCACGAAATGTGACTGCCCTGGCACTCCAGAACTTGCATTGCTGCCATGTATGCTCGTGGCCGCCATCCTGCGGCGAAGCCGTCAACAAGGAGGCACCTCAGTCGGCAAACAACTGGAGACTGTGGGTGCCCTGGATGCAAGACGAGCCAAGATATTCCGGGAACATCTCCGGCATGTCCCAAAACACTGGACTTGCATCGTACAGCATGAGCTGTTGCGCCTGTAGCTCGTCAGCCACCATCTCCAGAGTGGACCCATGCGGGAGCGTGCTTCCCTAAACCCTAAACCCCT